CCCTGTGACTCCAATCCCAAGTGTCTTAAGTATTTTCCTGTGGATCGGGCCTCTCCTCTCCTTGGCGTGCCTGGCTGTGTCACTGCCCAGCAACCGCGCGAGATTCTCTGGGCCAGTCAACGAAGCGCAAGGGTTTCACACGGCGTTTGCATGAACATTCCGATTATTTGATCCACCATGGATGGAGGGATCCAGCAGCCATTTCGATTCAGTCACGCCCAGTCATGGTCAGGACACTTAACGCGCAGATGCACCCTGCGCAAGCTTAAACGTATTCAGACCTATGCGCATATACCCACTCGTATTACTGAGGCTCATTCACATTCCAACTCATTCAAACTTCGATTGGCTTCCAGTCTGTCAATACCCAAGCCCGCTTCTAAGCGAAAGCTCTTGCGCCAGAACTCCCGGCGGACAGGTCCATACAACCAATGCATAAATGGGGAGCCATACGCAGTGAATAATTGCTCCGGACCGCCCTGTGAATCTCTGTGGAGGAGCTTCGATGGCCCATGTTGGCGGGGTGTAGCGCTGTTCCTTCAGGCACTTTTCGGGGAGTTGTGGGGGAGTTGTGTGAGGAGGAGGAGGAGGAGGAGGAGGACGAGGACGAGGAGGACGAGGAGGACGAGGAGGAGGAGGAGGAGGGGAGGGGGGAGGAGGAGGAGGAGGAGGAGGAGAGGATGACGAGGAGGAGAGGAGGATAAGAGGAGGAGGAGGAGAGAGGAGGATGAGGAGGAAGAAGAAGAAGAGAGGAAGAAGAGGAGGAGGAGAGGAGGAGGGGGGGGGGCACGAAGGAAGAGGAGGAGGAGGAAGGAGGAGGAGGGGGAGGAGGAGGAGGAGGAGGAGGAGGAGGAAGGAATGGTGGGAGTTGCGGGAGTGGCCGGCCTGGCCACGAGAGCCCCGTGGGCAGGGCCACGAAAAGGAGGACAGCGAGGATAGTGAGACAAGAAAGCGCGAACGGCGAGGACCGGGTGTGGAACAGGGAGATGAGCAGGGTGAGGGACCAAGCTGGGGGACTGGAGAGGAGGACGGGGAGGAGGAGGAGGAGGAGGAGGAGGAGGAGGAGGAGGGGGAGGAGGAGGAGGAGGAGGAGGAGGAGGAGGAGGAGGAGGAAGAGGATAAGGAGGAGGAGGAAAAGGAGGAGGAGGAGAAGGTGGACGGGGAGGAGGAGGAGGAGGAGGAGGAGGAGGAGGAGGAGGAGGAAATCAGGCGGAGAAAGAAAAGGACGGCGACGAGAACGGCGACGAAGACGTCAGGGTGTAGGTCTGAGGAGGGAGGGCGAATACAGCCAAGACGCTGCAATGAGGATTGCTTCGGGTTCCAAAAGGGCTCGGTCTTTCTAGGTTCCACCTCTAGCCTTCCTCGTGCACCCAGAGTCGTTCGGCACCACACAGGGACTTTGTTTCTTTTGTATCGTTCCTTGTTGCATGTCGTGGGGCCGAAGACGGGGGAACGGAACGATCACGAGGAGGCGATGGAGGATCATGGGTTTGAGGCGGAGAAGGGGGAGGGGGTGCAGCAAGATTATGGCGAGGCGGGCCCAGGGGACGCGGATGAGCACAGTCGGACCGAGCCATAAGAGCAAGGTCGGCTCGGGAAGGGTACCCTGATGTTCTTCGTGTCTGTTGGATGTTCTTGTTCATCGACCCCCCCTAAAAAAACGGCACCCCTATCCAAATGCTATCTAATATTCCGGACCCCCTCTTCGACGGCCGCCTTGACAAACCAGACCCCCTCAGCTCCAATCCATAGAAAGCGCCCTAATAAACCGGACCCCCCCCCCAGTTACAAAAAGAGCGCCTTAAAAACCAGCCCCGGGGGAAGATTCATGAGGGATTTGGAGTGCACTCGACTGTTTTTCGGTTTGGCCGGCGGAGGGTCTCATGTTCTTGGAGGATGTTTTTCTGTGCTAGCAGTCGTAATATGAGGAATGAATGCGAGGAACATTGCAATGATCAGGATGGCGCCGTGGATGTTGGAGGACAAGTCTCAGCACAATGTAACCAAAGTTGTGTGAGCAGCAGAACCAAGATGGTGTTTGGGGAGCGCAGTGAGGAGGAGGAGGAGGAGGAGGAGGAGGAGGAGGAGGAGGAGGAGGAGGAGGAGGAGGAGGAGGAGGAGGAGGAGGAGTAGGAGGTGAACGGAACGGAGGAGGGGAGGAGGAGTACGGGAGATTGAGGAGGAGATGAGGATGAGGAGGAGAGAGGGGGAGGGAACGAGAGAGGAGGAGGAGGAGGGGAGGAGGAGGAGGAGGAGGAGGAGGAGGGAGGAGGGGAGAGGGGGGAGGAGAGGAGGAGGAGGAGGAGGAGGAGGAGAGGAGGAGAGGGGGAGGAGGAGGAGGAGGAGGGGAGGAGGGAGGAGGAAGAGGAGGAGGAGGATGAGGCTTTGACTGTACTAAGCTCGTTGCAAGTAGCTTGAGCGCAGCGGCCAACAGGACTGGCACAGGCTGCACACGAGAAGCCCGAGAGCATGGACGCTGAGCTGCTTCCGCTCTCGTCCCGAAAACTGTCGGGAGAGAGGTATTGGCGCTGCAGGAGGGGAAGAGAGGAATCTTAGAAGAGAGAGGAGGAGTTTGCAGCGCCGTGCGAAGAGAGACATCAGCGGGGCCCTGCTTCGTTGCCCATAGCAGGGCAGCCCTCGAGGCAGAGAGCAGTGCAAGGCTGGAAAAGGAGAGACCTGCCCAGGTGTGCCGTCCAAGTTTCGGTCGGCTGAAGGAGAGGGAAGAGCTGGAAGGAGGGCCAAATTGGCCAGGCCGCCGTGCGGCTGTCCAAACCTCCAGGGGAGGAGAGCTGGACTGGAGGAAGGGCGGGGGATCCTATAAGAGGCGGGGGGAGGAAGGAGGGCCATAATGGCATTGCCGTGCTGCAGGGCGGCCGCTGCAGCTGAAAGGCCTATACGGGCCGTCCGCGACGGGAAGGTGGGTGTGCCTGGGCGCTAACCGAGACCAGACAACGGAGACCCACCTCCGTGTGGCCCCTCACAGGCACACAGGGACCAAGGGGACCCTGCTACACCTGGACGAGGGCCAGAGAGACAAGCCAAGGCACAGTGCCGCGGTCCTCCTGGCATTGCCGTGCTGCAGGACGGCCGCTGCAGCTGAAAGGCCTGGACGGGCCGTCCGCGACAGGGAGGTGGGTGTGCCTGGGCGCTAGCCGAGACCAGACAACAGAGACCCACCTCCGTGTGGCCCCTCACAGGCACACAGGGACCAAGGGGACCCTGCTACACCTGGACGAGGGCCAAAGAAACAAGCCAAGGCACAGTGCCGCGGTCCTCCCACGAGGCATATATGCTTGCCGCAGCCTTGACTCAGCCGTGGCGAGTCTGCGAATTGCGCTGTGCGTATTGAGCCGAAGCCAGTTGGCGCTGGCACCACACCCTCCCATGTGGGCTCGACCCCGTCTTTCAGGAGGGCGTGGCCGACCCCTCCCATGTGGGCTCCACCCCGTCTTTCAGGAGAGGCCGAGCTGTGCAGAGTAGCTGTGCGCGAAGGCCAGAGAGGGCAGCCAGACCTGCCGCAAAAAACTGCCATACCTGCCCATCCCCCTCCGTGCTCTGGCTTTCCGCCTTCGGCGGGAAAAACTGGCTGAGCTCTGGAGGATGGCTGGTGACTCGAGCCGCCTATGGCGGAGACTGGTGCGCGGCAGATGCGGCAGCGCGCCGCGCTGCGGCCGCTGCATCCAAGGCGGCACGTGCTGGGGTACAGGTGAAAAAGGGCCTAGAGTCGTCGTGGCGTGGCGGACTCTGCACAGTGGGGCTCGGCAGCTGCGCCCCTGGCACTGGGTCTGCCTGTGACTGCTGCGGGGCCGCGAACAGATTACTCGAGGCTGACAGCACAGCGCGGCAGGCCCTCGCCTCCGCTGCTGTGATCCCCGGTGGCGTACATGATGGCTGCACTGGCGACGGCACTGACACTGGCACTGCTTCTGGCTGGCGTGAGGGTACTGGCACCGGCCCTGTCGGTCGTGAAGGTGCTGGCGGCGCTGGCGCTGCAGGGCGTACTGGGAGTGGTACTGGCTTTGACGGCCGTGAAGGTACAGAGACTTGCTGAAAAAATGGTGGCGGGCATAAGCCCTGCGCGAGGCCTAGAGCAGTGGCAGGGCTGGGGCCTGGATCAGCCTCCGCCCGCATCCTAGGCGGAAAGCCTGGGATTGGGGTGCCGCGGGGAAGAAAAGGAGGCCGTGCAGAGGGGGGGGCAAAGGGGGAGGTGAACTCGCCCTCCGGGACCACCACGTCGTCGCCCGCTGCCGCCAGCCGCTGACCGAGAACCCCGTGGACTGGAAAACCCGCCTCGGCAGCCATGGCCGCTGGTCCCGCTGCCAGCGTAGACGAGGGGACTGCAGCCGCCGCGTCGCCTCCATGGGCACCGGGAGCGACAGCATCCGGAGAGGGAGAGGCCGCTGCGCCCCGCTGCGCAGAGGGCGTTGGCGCCGCCGCCAGCGCCGAGGCCACCGCCTGGGCCAGCTGCGATGGCTGGCGGCCACGATGGCTGGCGAGGGCTGCGAAGGCGCGCAGAAGGTGTTCTGACGCGCGCGCCTCGGCCCTCGTGTACTGCGCGCGACGCGCGGCAGCCTTCCGCGGCGGCCTGCGGCGGCTTGCGGTGGCCGCGGGAGGCGCCTCCATAGCGCGGCCGAGGGGACGGGATCAGGGGAGAGCGGGGAGGCGGCGCGGGGAAGCGCCGATGGCGCTGGCTGGCGCAGAGCGGCGGCTCGTGCCAGCTGGCGCTAGGAGGAGGAGGAGGAAGGAGGGGGAGTAGGAGTGAAGGGGGGGGAGGCAGGGCGTGTGGGGGGAGGAGGAGGAGGAGGAGGAGGAGGAGGAGGAGGAGGAGGAGGAGGAGGAGGAGGAGGAGGAGGTTTGAGGAGAAGGAGGAGCAGGAGGAGGAGGACGACGACGTCGGCGACGACGAGGAGGGTCAGCAGGAGCAGGACGGAGGGGGTTGGAGGGCAATTGCTTCGTCTCCACCTCTGCCCCCTCTTCGCTCCTGCCGCCCGTGTCGGCAGGGCATGCCCGGGGCCTTCCCGGCCGCCCCCGGCTGCGGCGGCTTCCCGGCCGCGCCGGGCTGCGGCGGCTGCGGCGGCTGCGGCGGCTGCGGCGGCTGCAGCGCGCCCAGCTGCCCCTGGTAGCCTTAAGTCGGTCCGTTCCCTCTACAGGAGGGATCTCCAAGAATAGCAAAAAAAAATGTAGGTGGACGATTTTCTAACTAGTTTCTGATACTTTTGACAATTTTTCGAGGTATTTTGAATGTTTCGTCCAAAATCCGCCTGTAGGAGGACATGCCCGACCTAATCGTAGCCCGTATCCTTCACGTGGCATTCTTCCTCGTCTTCCTTTTCCATCTGTCTCCTCCTCATCATCCTCGTCCTCGTCGCTCTTCCTCGTCTCGTTGGCGGCTTAGAGGGGGAATGGATGACTAGGGGGCGGTGGCTGTCATGGCTGGAGCCACGATGTCTCCCCGGTCGTTGTAGCCCCCTCTTCTTGTGTTAATGCGTCCCCTGCCTCCCCCTGGGCGGGACCACGTGCCTTGGGCCATGATGTGCGAACCCCCGATCCTCGTCCTCTTGGGCGCCTGCGATCCTCGTGTCCTCCTCCACCTGCTTCGTGCTCGTCCTCCGAGCTCCTTGACCCTCTGGCGGCCCCTCGCGGCAGCTGGGGCCTTCCTCATCGAAGTCGGTGTTCCTGGAGAGGCCTCCCAGAACATCGAAATCCGTGCTCCCCAGGAGGTCTCCTCGGGGGAGGAGAGGGTGCCGACATTTGGCCTCTCTGGGCTTCCCGGGAGGCCATCGCCGCCACGGCCGGATGTGCCTCGAATGGTGGCCAGAACGAACCCTGCAGAGGTCCGGGTATCTGTGCCTTTTTGTCCCCCTATCTCCTGTAACATGGAGTTTGCTGCCATCCATGCGCCCAACCCCGCATAGATCCGATGTGGCGCCCCTCCCGGGCCCGAATGGCGTCATCCCCCTCCCCCCTCCTCCCTCCCGGGCCTGAATGGCGTCAGCCCCCCCCCCCGACAGAGCGAAGCTTGAGCGAGCTCAAGCCCACGCTGTCAGAAACTCACACGCCGGATCGGCGGATATGTGCGTCGACGCGCGCACCGAGACATCTTATAGAATATGCGCAGTGGCGCGCGCGTTCTGGCAACGCCGCTCTGGAAACGATGCACTGCAAGATGGGCGTACTATGTGTTCGGGTCGGACGCGCGCTTCCGAGGAGGACATCGAGTATTAGCCTGTCTCTGTGAATCCCAGATGAGGCCGTGCTGTTTGAAGCTCCTGGTGCCCTGGCGCGTGGTCCCGCTCCGGCCTTGGCGCCTGTAGCCGAGGCCTCGGAGGCGGGCAGCTTCCTCGGCTCATCGGCCACAGCCTGCCAGCGCCTCCCGGAGGGATCCCGCGCAGCACGCAGGACGGGGTGAGCCTCCTCAGGCCGCTCGTCAGGGTGTCATGGCGCCAGCATCGCAGAGCGGATCTCGTTCGGAAAACGATGGGATGGGCCCAGAGTGTCCTGGAGAATGTCGTTCCGGAATTCGAGGTGAATTTCGCGCGGATCTTCTTTGGCCAGGAATGAAGACCTAAAACAATCCATGCGAAATTCACTCCGTTTTTCGCTCGCAGTTTCGGGCAGAAATCCACGCAGAAATCCACGCAGAAGTCCGCTGCAGCACGTCTGAAAGGCCGGTGCAATGACAGCTGGCTGCTCATGGCTTCCAGTAGATGACGTCTCTGCTTGTGCTCAGGTCCGCGTTCGACGTTCCGTGGCAAAGCTGAGGTGACCGTGGAGGGACGGTGCCGCCAGCTAGCGATGGCATCCCAATCTGGTGTCAGTCTCTGCCGCTCCTGCTGACGCACGACTGCTTTTTGAAATTCAGCGGGACTTTCTCTCGACGGCCCGTCGCCATGCTCCTGTCCACGTGGTGACGAAGCAGAGCCATCTCGGCCGTCGAGACCCATGAAGCATACAAGGACGATATCGCAAAGAGAGCGTGTGCGCTATTGAGCGAAAAGGCTAACTACTGACCGCAGAAACGAAGCAGACGGGGGGCACGCCTTCGCAGGAACGAAACCAACAGGCACATGGAAAGGCACTGACTCATTCGGAGGAGGGAAGCAAGGAGAGGGAGGAAGAGGCGGAGGACCAGGGGGGAAGGAGTCGGGGTGGGGCCATTGCTGCACTTAAACTCCGGCAGGGGGGGGTGCAACTTATCGGATGCGAAGGGCAGGTCTACCGAGTCTGTCGCTTTGACCCGACTCGCCGCAGGCGCGGCCCCGGGGACATCAGGACGCTTTCCGCCTCCAGAGTCGGTGAGGCCCAAGATTTTGGGAGTGAAGCAACTTTCGGGGGCCCAGAGGTCCTCCTCGGACTCGCATCCTAGCATTGATTCGCACACATCAGCAAACTCTGGGTGCCCAGAGGGGCCCTCAGGGGGGCCCTCAGGGGGTCTGCAACTCTGAGGGTCAGGGTCGGACTCATCACTCACATCATCCTGCTCTGTGGGCCAGAAGAGATCACCGAAGAACATGTCACAAGGGGTTTCCCTGGCCTCTGCCCGCTGCTGCCTGCGCTCCGCTGCCTGCTCACGTGCATTAGCGGACCTGGATCCCGCTGTGGGCAGTTGGCGAGGGCGAGCTTGTTGCGGCAGCCGACGGGGCAGATCCAAGCACCTGGCGATAAGCTGCTCGGCGCTCCGTCTCAGCCTTGATGACCAGGCCAATGTGCGGCTTCCAAGGGACACGAGCTTCGGGCTTGACCTCCACAGTGTACGAAGCTGCCGTCGCTGAACATATGACGAAATCGATGTGCAACTGATCTCTGGAACCCAAGATGCAAGTGGCTTCATCATCGGCGGTCATGATGATGGGCCGTCCGAGGAGCTTTCCGAGAAATGCTGACTTCTTCATAGCCCCCCCGTGACATTGAAGTCCCGGACCACAACCATGACATTTTCAACGTGTTGAGGAGAGAGAGACGAACCTCTGGAAGCTGCCAAGGTTGGGTCGCAGAAGCCGATGGACGTGTAGGCGTAGAAGATTGTGGCAACAATCGAATAGCAGTGGACATGCAAAATTGTGGCCATGAAACCATCGAGCTGTCGATGGCTTGGGGCCACTAAAGGACGAGCAGCCGCTGCACCCAACAGAGACTGCATCTGTAAATGCCCGCGTGAGAGAATCCACTCTCCTCCCTCGTTGGCCCGAGCCTGCTGAGACTTGACCGCATGTCGATCACGTACCCGAGCCGGGTCACGAAGTAAACGTAGCTTTGCACTTTTTGGGTTCGTGGGAAAAAAACCGCACAAACACACACATGTTTGTGGGAAAACACACACATGTTTGTGTGTGTGTGTGTTTTTGTGTGTGTGTTGTGTGTTTGTTGTATTCCATTTGCGGATATCACACTCACTGACATGAGTCTCCACAATCCCGATGAAGTCGTTCCAGCGAGAGGAATTAAGTTGCCATGCTCTGTCTCCGATGCATGCCACATTGGAGCAGAAGAACGTCGAGGTGGGCTCGCCTCATCCGTGCTCTGCAATGCAGGTGGTGTACGCAGGCGCTGCGGGGCAAGTCGCCACCTGCATGCTGCTCGCGTCGTCGAGAGTGCCGTCGATCGTTGCTCGTCGTTCATCGTCATCGTGCGCGCGGGCGCGGCTGGTGGTGCCGGAGCCGCACGGCCGGGGGGGGGGGCGTTGCGTCATGCCCCACCCCCCGCCCCCCCATGACGCCCGTCATCGCCGAACGTGAAGAACGCGCTCCAGTTGCCCTGGGCCCTCGGACGACACAGTCGCGAGCCCATCGCTGCTGGTCCCCTCGGAACCCAGTCATTTGGCAGCGCTGGGCGGCTCGGCGCCCTGGGCTCGCCTTTGGCCTGGTGGCTGGCTGGCTCGCCCCTGCCCCCGCCGATGGGCTGCGACTGCGGCGTGTCCTGCCGCGGCTCCCCGAGCAGCTCCTCCCTGCCTCCCGCCTGGCCTCCGTCAGCTCCTCGGCGGCCCTGCGGAGCTCCTCGTCGTCCTCGGAGTCGACGGGCTGGCGCGCCTCCCCGTTGGTGTTCGAGGTCTCCGCTCCGCCGCTGGCCGCCGCTGCTGGCGGCGCAGCGGCGGGAGCTGAGGCCTCGCTGCTTCCGGCCTCGCCCTCGACGACCCCGCGCTCCTTGGCGGTCCTGCTCCGCACCGCCGCGCGCACCTCCGCGGCCTTGGACGGCACGTTGTTCACCTCGGACTCCTTCGCGCTGGGGAGGGCCTGCAGCGCCGTCTTGTCCAACTGCAGCTTGCGCATGTCGGTGCGCTCGGCCTCCTCGCACTCCAGATCGTCCAGGTCCTCGAAAATGGTGGTATCGACCTTCAGCTCGAACTTGGGTTTGGCCATGTTCCTGGCGCAAGGCCCTCGGCCGCCGCCATGGCCGCCGTCGCCTGCGTCTTGGCGCGGGCTGCCTGGGCCAAGACTAGCCCCGCCGCTGCTGCCTTCTCCTGCGCTGTGGTGAGCGCCTGCGGGAGCCTGACCACGTTGCCCACCGCTTGGGTGTGCTTGTGGTCCGCATCCTTCCAGGCACTGACAGCGCGTCGAACAGCTTCGGCGGCTGCATGGGGGGCGTCCGTCGCGGCCCCAGCTGACGATGGTGGGGACAGCTGGTCTACCCTGGACTGGAGCGCCTTCTTCAACTGCTGATCCTCCGTGTTCTGGATCGCGAGCCGCAGAAGCGAAAGTTCGTCCCGTGGAGCCGCTTTGGAGGAGCTCTCACTGGACGTGTCCTTGCCCTTGCCACCCTTGATGTGGGACTGATCAGCACTCTTGTACTTAGATGTTTGAAGCTTGACTTGCCTCTTGCAGCTCAGGCGTTGTCGGTGGTTGGCCAGAAGTGTGGCGTTCAACTCCGAGCGGCCACAGCTGCAACGAGACCACAGGTGCGCCATGATGTGCATCAATTCTCCTGTTTTAGGAGCTCTCGAAAAAAATTGCCCCAAGCACGTCGTGAGGGCACAGGAGACGGGCTCGCCCAAGTAGGAGGAGGG